GTTCGCATCTTACGTGGTAACTCGATCGTGTATGCATTGCCTAGGCGGTGCAATACACGAAAAGGGCCAATGTACTTGGGTAGTAGTTTACTGCTACCCAAGTTAGTCACTACATGCTTTGGTAGATTAACCGTAGACAGTAGGACTAAGTCACCTTCATTGAATAAAAGAGTGTTTGCCCTTCCATTCTTGTCAGCGTTTTGCTTTTGCTTATCCACCGCTTCGGCGATGGAGTCTTGCACAAAACGGACTACCGTTTCACGAGCCAGTATGAACTCATCTGATGACTCGTTAGCTTCAGTGCGCTGTGAGTGCACTGCAGCAACATCAATCTTTACTTCAGTGAGGGCTTCCTCGCTCTCACTGGCATCATCTTCTTCGATATCGATGTTGTCGATATCGGCATCAAACGAAATGACCTCTTCGTCAGAGCGTGATGAGCGTGAACCAAATCGGTTTTTGCTCGCGCGAGTCTCTCCCTCCCTTAAACCAGAGTTACACTCTAGTAAGGTGGGTACACGCGGATGGCGCAAGCCATTCACGTAAAACGGTGTATGTGTCGTGGACGTATGCATCGAGTTGTTAATGGAAAACTCTACCATTGGCAAAAACTCACTCCAACTCTTAAAGGAGTGTACGTATCCTCGAAGTATCTCTTCGAGGACGCGATTGGCACGTTCCGTCTGACCATCTGACTCTGGATGATCAGATGTCGACATCTTCAAGCGCATTCCGAGTGATTTAAACACGGAGCACCAGAAATTAGCTGTGAATCGTGGATCTCTGTCTGAAACGAGTTCACGGGGTAACCCATGAAGTCGGAAGACGGTGTCGATAAAGACACAAGCACAGCCACTTGCCGCGATTGACTCTGGTACAGCCACAAGGTGTACAATTTTGCTGAATCTGTCAACAAATACGAGAATAACCCTATTCTTGCGTGCGTCTTTGCCTAACTCGAAGACAAAATCCATTGAGATGGATTCCCAGCACTCAGCCGGAACCGGTAGAGGCTGTAAAGGTGCACGCAGTGAAGGACTTGACTTCACTCGTTGACAGACTTCGCATGCGCGAACATACTTTCGCACAAACTGATACTGGCGGGGCCAGTAAAAGTCTCGACTTACCGTGAGATATGTTTTCTCCCGGCCACGATGTCCTCCTATAGGAGCATCGTGATACTCGAACATGATCCGCAAACGCAGATCAGTATCATCTGGGATGACAACACGTGGTGTGTCACCATTAACGGCTGTATAATACAGTAAACCGTTGCGAGTAGTGTATCGATCTGATGCAGATTGATACGCATGCGATAATCTTTTCAGCGATTATCGAAATGGTAGTGAGAGATGTGTCAACAGCTTCACTATCTCACCATCTTGGGCAAACGCCCGCCTCACATCATCATGTAACGTTGAAGATGGTATGGTGGACGTCATGACCGCAACAGTGGCTGTCTCACTGTTGGATTTCACGACTGGTTCAAAGTAGGGCCGACGTGAGAGTGCATCAGCGACGACATTAAGTCGTCTGATTTGTACTCGACCGTATAGTTGTATTCTGCAAAGAATGACAACCACCGCGCCATTCATTGTGAAAGGTGCGGGCTGTTCACTGCCGTGCGTAATGACGCATGGTCAGTGTAAACAACGAAGGGTCTATCTCCTAATAGATAGACTCTGAACTTCGCGAGTGCATACTTCATGGCAAGGAGTTCCTTGTCATGCACTGGATAGTTTCGCTCAGCTGGTTGCAGCTGACGCGACTGATAGCAGACGACGCGTTCAACGCCTTCAAGATCGTACTGCATTAATGCACAGCCGATTGCAAAATCGCTGGCATCACAGACCACATGAAATGGCCTGTCCTCATCGGCTATTGCTAGGACTGGGGATTGTATCAAGCTCTGCTTGATACCCTCAAAGGAGCGCTGACATTCAGCGTTCCATAACCACCTCTCGTTCTTTTTCAACAAACGAGAGAGGTGAACAGTCATCTCGGCGTAATTGCGTGAATACTTTTGCAAATACGCCGCTAGCCCAAGAAATTACCTTTGACATCAACCGGCACAGGCCAGTCGGTGATCGCCTTGATCTTTTCGGGATCAGGACGTACACCGTTCTTACCAACGATGCACCCAAAAAGTGGTAATTCGCTTGCTGCAAATATACACTTCTTGAGATTTGCATACAATTGATGCTTTCGCATGATTGTAAGAACTTGTCGGACGTGGTACCTGTGAACCTCAACATCCGACTTTCCATCCATAGCCCGACTATGGATGAATACGTCATCGAAATAACTCGGCGCGAATTCCTGTACTGGTCTCAACAGATGTGATACACATCTGTTGAACGTGGCAGGGGCATTACTAAGCCCTTGAGGCATTACTAGCCATTCCCAGAGCATACCACTGGGGGTGCTAACTGCGGTATAGGGTATATCCCGTTTTCGCACAAGGATTTGATAGAAGCCATCCATCAAATCCATGGTTGAAGAGATGGTACTCTTTGACATACCATCAATGATTATGTCCTTCCGTAGTATCGGAGTCTGAGCCGGTACCGTTGCAGCATTCAACTGGTTTAATGCATGCACAATCCGCCACCCTCCTGTTGCTTTTCGCACACAGAAGGTCGGAGAGTTATGTGGGGAAGTTGATTCCCTCACATGGCCCGCTGCTAAACGATCGGCAAAGAACTTGTCGATCGCAAGTACTTGTTCACGAGGCAGTGGCCACTGCTTCATGACACAGTACTTCGAGCCTGGTTTAAGCTCGACTTCGTGTCGAATACCTTTATCCTTCGGTAATTCGCACGGAACAGTTTCAGGGAATACATCCTTGAATTCAACAAAATCCTCATAGAGAGGATTTTCCTTGAGCGATTCCCATGATTGGGACTCATATCGCTCAATTCGTGTCTTTTCATCTAGGACACTCTCGTCCATAGATGAACTACTGAGAACTCTTTCGTTCTCAGTAAACACTGTTGCTGACCTTATGTCGGTTACACACTCGTCGTCAGCGACGAGTATGCAGATCTGCTTGACTTTGCCACTACGCAGATCACGCAAGAACCTTTTATGTTCGAGCGTTGGCAACTGAGTGATCTCCGAAGTTAACTTCGGAGGCGCAATCAGATCAAGTGTATAAGCGCCTACACATGATCCGTTATTGACTATGACATTCAATGTCTCTGTCATTTCCTGGGGACTTATTCCCTCAGGCTTCGAAGGACTTATTCCTTCGTCTTCCCGGGGACTTATTCCCGCGGGTTTCGGGGAACTTATTTCCGCCGTATTTGTAATCTTGGGACTTATTCCCTTTACTTCCTCTAGCTGGGGTTGCGCAACCACAGCGAGATCCTCTACGAAAGACTCTCCAGTCGATCTAGGATTATCGTTTCGCTTAACCTGAGCGATCGATTGTTTCTCTTCTAGATGTTCCCCTCTAGGGATACATCTTTGTCTCAGTCCACCCGACTTATTCGAGTGGTGGACCTTCGGCGCAGCCTGTGTTTCCTCACAGCCGCCGGAACTTTGCTCCGAAGTGTAACCGTTTGGTACACTAAGGTTTTGTGCAGTCGTACTAACGACCGTACCACAAGTGAGGCCATCGCACTCACTCGTAGTACATCCACACGCTTGTGGACGCTCCAAAACGTTCATAAGATGGCCATCTGATGAACAAGCGGCAGGCATCGTTACTGTTCGATGTTGCCAGTTTACTCGTGGTTCGTACCTTCTGAGCCACGGTATTCCAAGGATGACATCAAATTCGTCATCCAAATCCAATACGACAAATTCATCATCATGTTGGGTATCTTCTAGCGTATAGTGGATCTTCACTATACGCTTCATGACGGTTACGGATGCGCCTGTCGCAAGACGTACCGTCATCCTCGTAGGAGGTGTGTCACATTCATCAAACTTAAAATGACCATCTTCTAGCGTTTGGCGTCGCACAAAATTGTTGGACTCCCCACAATCGACATGAGCTCGAAGGGACAACTTGTTCGTCACTTCGAGTTTCAAGTTAACGAGTGAGATCTCGTTACCTAGAGCAGCAACGCACAACGTTTGTGTGTTGGGAGCAACCTTCATCAAGAGGCCTACAAATTCTCTTGACGTTGCCGGACCAGTAGGGTGCTCCGCACCTACTGATCCTGCCCTTTTTTTTACGGTCCATCCCGTTGTTGCGTCTTTGCACCAACAGCGGACCCTCGTCCCTGCCCCTTTCTCATGGGTGGACGGTCACTACGCCCAGTGTTGCGAGACATTGGACGAGGGGCACTACACTCGTAAGCGTAGTGTCCTGTCTTCTGACATCTGTTGCATTTCTGCAACTTCTTGTACTCTGTAGAGCGAGCCTTCTCGCTCTCTACATAACAGAGTTCCATCGGCTCTGGACCTCCGCTGTCATATCGTGTCGGTTGACAATATGATGTCAAGCTGGCGCGAGCCTGTCTCAGACTGAAGTCTTCCTGTTCCGCAACGGAAATGGCTTGTTTGTAACGGGGTGAATCGTTACATAACAATTTATAAGAAATTGCTAATAGAATATAACTATAAGAGTTATATTCTCAGAATATTGTCATAAGGACAAATATTCTGTAGCACTTACAAGTAGTTCCTAATTGGTTGATATAGGCCATTATATCAACCAACGAAGACGCGCCACGACAGACGCACGCAATGAGTGGTGAGCAGATAACTGATTTACACATTTGTATTTAGACATAGTTAGATGAAGATAAATAGTGATTTATTGCAGACATTAACTATTATAAATACAGTTCTACTTTTTACTCTAACCAAGTACTCGCTTCTTCTTACCGTCTTCCTCTGCACGTACGAGTTTACGTGAAGTTACGAGGCACCGCCTTATTCTGTTATCAGAATAAGTAGCTTGTACTGTCACCAGTACAAGCTTCAGGGTGCCCCGTTACACCTGGTAGCACTTCGTAGTCCGTCCAAGGACCGCGTTCACATCCAACATGAATATGTTGGATGATGAAGATGACCAAAGCTTTCACGCTACGCGTGACGGCTACTCCCATTTGAGCGATGTCGAATGGGATGCGGTTGAACGAATGGGTTCGACCATGGGCATCCATGCTGTTAGCGTCATGCTAGAGGCTCTCAATAGAGACGCCCAACATGCTACTATCGCCAAGTTCATCCAAAATGAACTTGACGCTGAACGCGAGAAAGTAGCCTTGCTTCACCAACAAGGTTCTCAACAAGCAGAGTTGTTGAGAGAACAAGGTGCTCAACAGTTTGAACTGTTGAGACAGCAGCAGGCTGCTGCTGGCGGGTCGATGCACTCGCGTCGGCCCGAGACTTTGAAGATTGACATCTCAAAGTATAGAGGGGTCGAAGAAGACTCCCTCTTGAGATGGTTCGTCGAATTGGATGACGCCATAAGGGGCGCGTCGCATCGACGACGGGGATATGCAAGTTGCATTTGCCCAATCAAATCTGGCAGGACGTGCCAAGACTTGGGCACTGGGGCTCAAGCTGCACGACCCATATGCGTTTGGGTCGTTGGAAGTCTTCAAGTCGCGGCTCAGACAAACGTTTGAACCGCCTAGAGCTGAGTTCAGGGCTCGAACCGAACTCTTGAAGCTCAAGCAGGGTAAGCGTGATGTGCACGCTTACGCTCAACATATACGACATCTTACGAGTTGTATAAGTTCCAATCCAGTGGATGAACACACGTTGGTTTCGGTGTTCATGCAGGGTCTTGCGGATGGTCCCGTCAAGACTCACCTGTTCCGGCTTGAACTAGATTCACTAGAACAAGCCATTTCCATTGCGGAGCAGGAAGACTTCAGTCTGAGACAGGCTCGCGCCAGCTCGACATCATATCGTCAACCGAGACGATATGACAACGGAGGTCCAGAGCCGATGGAACTCTGTTATGTAGAGAGCGAGAAGGTTCGCTCTACAGGCTACAAGAAGTTGCAGAGATGCAACAGATGTCAAAAGACAGGACACTACGCTTACGAGTGTAGTGCCCCTCGTCCAGTGTCTCGCGACACTGGGCGTAGTGACCGTCCACCCATGAGAAAGGGGCAGGGACGAGGGTCCGCAGTTGGTGCAAAGACGCAACAACGGGATGGACCGTCAAAAAACGGACAGGATCAGTAGGTGCGGAGCACCCTACTGATCCAGCAACGTCAAGAGAATTTGTAGGCCTCTTGATGAAGGTTGCTCCCAACACACAGACGTTGTGCGTTGCTGCTCTAGGTAATGAGATCTCACTCATTACCTTGAAACTCGAAGTGACGAATAAGTTGTCCCTTCGAGCTCTAGTCGATTGTGGGGCGTCTAACAATTTTGTGCGACGCCAATCGCTAGAAGATGGTCACTTTAAATTCAGTGAATGTGACACACCTCCCACGAGGATGACGGTACGTCTTGCGACAGGCGCATCCGTAACCGTCATGAAGCGTATAGTGAAGATTCGCTATACGCTAGAAGATACCCAATATGACGATGACTTTATCGTATTGGATTTGGATGACAAATTTGATGTCATCCTTGGAATACCGTGGCTCAGAAGGTACGAACCACGGGTAAACTGGCAACATCGGACAGTAACGATGCCTGCCGCTTGTTCATCAGATGGCCATCTGATGAACGTTTTGGAGCGTCCACAAGCGTGTGGATGTACTACGAGTGAGTGCGATGGCCTCACTTGTGGTACAGTCGTTAGTACGACTGCACAAAACCTTAGTGTACCAAACGGTTACACTTCGGAGCAAAGTTCCGGCGGCTGTGAGGAAACACAGGCTGCGCCGAAGGTCCACCACTCGAATAAGTCGGGTGGACTGGGACAAAGATGTATCCCTAGAGGGGAACATCTAGAAGAGAAACAATCGATCGCTCAGGTTAAGCGAAACGATAATCCTAGATCGACTGGAGAGTCTTTCGTAGAGGATCTCGCTGTGGTTGCGCAACCCCAGCTAGAGGAAGTAAAGGGAATAATTCCAAGATTACAAATACGGCGGAAATAAGTTCCCCGAAACCCGCGGGAATAAGTCCCCGGGAAGACGAAGGAATAAGTCCTTCGAAGCCTGAGGGAATAAGTTCCCAGGAAATGACAGAGACATTGAATGTCATAGTCAATAACGGATCATGTGTAGGCGCTTATACACTTGATCTGATTGCGCCTCCGAAGTTAACTTCGGAGATCACTCAGTTGCCAACGCTCGAACATAAAAGGTTCTTGCGTGATCTGCGTAGTGGCAAAGTCAAGCAGATCTGCATACTCGTCGCTGACGACGAGTGTGTAACCGACATAAGGTCAGCAACAGTGTTTACTGAGAACGAAAGAGTTCTCAGTAGTTCATCTATGGACGAGAGTGTCCTAGATGAAAAGACACGAATTGAGCGATATGAGTCCCAATCATGGGAATCGCTCAAGGAAAATCCTCTCTATGAGGATTTTGTTGAATTCAAGGATGTATTCCCTGAAACTGTTCCGTGCGAATTACCGAAGGATAAAGGTATTCGACACGAAGTCGAGCTTAAACCAGGCTCGAAGTACTGTGTCATGAAGCAGTGGCCACTGCCTCGTGAACAAGTACTTGCGATCGACAAGTTCTTTGCCGATCGTTTAGCAGCGGGCCATGTGAGGGAATCAACTTCCCCACATAACTCTCCGACCTTCTGTGTGCGAAAAGCAACAGGAGGGTGGCGGATAGTGCATGCATTAAACCAGTTGAATGCTGCAACGGTACCGGCTCAGACTCCGATACTACGGAAGGACATAATCATTGATGGTATGTCAAAGAGTACCATCTCTTCAACCATGGATTTGATGGATGGCTTCTATCAAATCCTTATGCGGAACGGGATATACCCTATACCGCAGTTAGCACCCCCAGTGGTATGCTCTGGGAATGGCTAGTAATGCCTCAAGGGCTTAGTAATGCCCCTGCCACGTTCAACAGATGTGTATCACATCTGTTGAGACCAGTACAGGAATTCGCGCCGAGTTATTTCGATGACGTATTCATCCATAGTCGGGCTATGGATGGAAAGTCGGATGTTGAGGTTCACAGGTACCACGTCCGACAAGTTCTTACAATCATGCGAAAGCATCAATTGTATGCAAATCTCAAGAAGTGTATATTTGCAGCAAGCGAATTACCACTTTTTGGGTGCATCGTTGGTAAGAACGGTGTACGTCCTGATCCCGAAAAGATCAAGGCGATCACCGACTGGCCTGTGCCGGTTGATGTCAAAGGTAATTCCTTGGGCTAGCGGCGTATTTGCAAAAGTATTCACGCAATTACGCCGAGATGACTGTTCACCTCTCTCGTTTGTTGAAAAAGAACGAGAGGTGGTTATGGAACGCTGAATGTCAGCGCTCCTTTGAGGGTATCAAGCAGAGCTTGATACAATCCCCAGTCCTAGCAATAGCCGATCAGGACAGGCCATTTCATGTGGTCTGTGATGCCAGCGATTTCGCAATCGGCTGTGCATTAATGCAGTACGATCTTGAAGGCGTTGAACGCGTCGTCTGCTATCAGTCGCGTCAGCTGCAACCAGCTGAGCGGAACTATCCAGTACATGACAAGGAACTCCTTGCCATGAAGTATGCACTCGCGAAGTTCAGAGTCTATCTATTAGGAGATAGACCCTTCGTTGTTTACACTGACCATGCGTCCTTACGCACGGCAGTGAACAGCCCGCACCTTTCACAACAAATGGCGCGGTGGTTGTCATTCTTTGCAGAATACAACTTTACGGTCGAGTACAAACCAGGGCGACTTAATGTCGTCGCTGATGCACTCTCACGTCGTCCCGACTTTGAAACAGTCGCGAAACCCAACAGTGAGACAGTCACTGTTGCGGTTATGACGTCCTCAGTTCCATCTACAATGCTGTATGATGATGTGAGGCGGGCATACGCCCAAGATGGTGAGATAGTGAAGTTGTTGTCACATCTCTCCCAACCATCCCGCGAATCGTTGAAACGATTGTCGCCTGCGTATCGATCTGCATCAGATCGATACACTACTCGTAACGGTTTACTGTATTATACAGCCGTTTCTGGTGACACACCACGTGTTGTCATTCCAGATGATACTGATCTGCGTTTGCGGATCATGTTCGAGTATCACGATGCTCCTATAGGAGGACATCGTGGCCGAGAGAAAACATATCTCACGGTAAGTCGAGACTTTTACTGGCCCCGCCAGTATCAGTTTGTGCGAAAGTATGTTCGCGCATGCGAAGTCTGCCAACGAGTGAAGTCAAGTCCTTCACTGCGTGCACCTTTACAGCCTCTACCGGTTCCGGCTGAGTGCTGGGAATCCATCTCAATGGATTTCGTCTTCGGGTTACCCAAAGACGCACGCGGGAATACGGGTATTCTCGTATTTGTTGACAGATTCAGCAAAATGGTACACCTTGTGGCTGTACCAGAGACAATCACGGCAAGTGGCTGTGCTTGTGTCTTTATTGACACCATCTTCCGACTTCATGGGTTGCCCCGTGAACTCGTATCAGACAGAGATCCACGATTCACTGCTGATTTCTGGCGTTCCGTGTTCAAATCACTCGGAACGCGCTTGAAGATGTCAACATCTGATCATCCAGAGTCGGATGGTCAGACGGAACGTGCCAATCGTGTCCTTGAAGAGATACTTCGAGGATACGTACACTCCTTTAAGAGTTGGAGTGAGTTTTTGCCAATGGTAGAGTTTGCCATCAACAACTCGGTGCATGCGTCCACGACACATACACCGTTTTACGTGAATGGCTTGCGCCATCCGCGTGTACCCACCTTACTAGAGTGTAACTCTGGTTTAAGGGGGGAGGGACTCGCGCGAGCAAAAACCGATTTGGTTCACGCTCATCACGCTCTGACGAAGAAGTCATTGCGTTTGATGCCGATATCGATAACATCGATATCGAAGAAGATGATGCCAGTGAGAGTGCGGAAGCCCTCACTGAAGACAATGATCCCAGTGAGAGTGCGGAAGCCCTCACTGAAGAAAAGGTTGTTGTTGCTGCAGTGTGCTCACAGCACACTGAAGCTAACGAGTCATCAGATGAGTTCATACTGGCTCGTGAAACGGTAGTCCGTTTTGTGCAAGACTCCATCGCCGAAGCGGTGGATAAGCAAAAGCAAAACGCTGACAAGAATGGAAGGGCAAACACTCTTTTATTTAATAAAGGTGACTTAGTCCTACTGTCTACGGTTAATCTACCAAAGCATGTAGTGACTAACTTGGGTAGCAGTAAACTACTACCCAAGTACATCGGCCCATTTCGTGTATTGCGCCGCCTAGGCAATGCATACACGATCGAGTTACCACGTAAGATGCGAACGCATCCCACGTTTTACGTTGGTCGGCTTAAGCCGTACCATCAGTACGCTGCTTCTTCCGATGAAGAACGCCCTTGCGCTCAAGCATCTCGCAGAGAGCCTTGTGCTCCCGATGGTGGGCATCAACAAGGGTCTGAAGAGCAGCTATCTGATCCCGAGACCGATCAACAATCCCACGAGCTACCCTTATCTCGTCACGAAGAGATGTCAGAGCTCTCTCGATCTCAAGCTAAGCAA